TTTTCACAGTACTTTTTCAGTACATTCTCGAGAAATTCAGTACCTCCTCCAAAGAAAAATTCCGTACTTTTTCAGTACCTCCACTTGACGAAATTAGAAACATTTCAGAAATTTGAAATCGCGAAAAAAATGACAAAAAATTCTAAAAAAAATCCGGACCTTTTTGCGGAATTTCCGCACTTTTTCGGTACTTCCGGACCGCCCTTAAAAAAATCAGTACTATTTCCGGACTTGTAGACACCCTGCCATCTTAACATAGATATGAGCTTTTAAAGTGTCCAGATTTTGTCTGACTTCTCCCGTTGACTTAACCCATGGTGCGCCGGGCCTCGGGCAGCGCAGGTGAGGCACCCGCGTGACGTCACGGGCAGTGCTGACGAGCGCAGGGGTCGTGCGCCCCAAAAAACGATTCGGATCGGATCGCGGTAATCGATACCGTATAGCTTTCACGCGCGATCTAGTTCTGGCTCTAGGAGCAACGAGCAAAGAGCGTCATTAAAACGACGCCCCGGGCCACGGATTACGCGCCCGAGCGGTGATATAATATTCCGACACGATAGGGAAGAACGCCGTATGAGCCTTCGAACGTGGCCAAGTTTCCTCCGATAGAAACCGAATTTCCTCGGAAAATTGTGAATATTATTTTTCCAAAACTTTCGGACAATTTTGCGGGCAATTTAATTAAAAATATCGGAAAATTGGAAGAAAAAATAGGCATGAATGTTGTTAAAAATACATGTTTTATCGAGGGAAATTTGGCAACTTTCGAATGTTCATACGGCGTTCTTCCGACTCGAAAAGAGATGAGGTCGATTTTAGGATGAGCCCCGAGTGTTTGTGTCCTTCCGTATTTCAGGGCACACCAGAAAATTGACAGGTTCACATGCTTCGTCTCTGGCCCGAATTCCAGACTGAGGCCTAATTACCTGGAGTACCGACTGAGCATCAATTAACCTTTCCTCACTGCGATCATTCTCCCGCTTGTCTCCGAGAAGTAAAGGGTTGTAACCATTCCGTCTTAAATGTTTGAATTTTCTTAAATCATTATTCTCCCCCGATGTAAAGTTCGTTTCCCTTCCCTCCTAAGATAAGGCAAAATTCCTCTTTTACCTTTGGAGGGAGGGGGGGGGGAGTCTTCAGAATATTACTGTAACGCCATATCAACGCGGGGAATCACATATAAAACATGAAGATCTGAGTGGAAGTAGAACGAATTCCTGACTTTCAAGATCAACCAAGACGTCACTAATTGTAAGAATAAAAGCCGTGCGGCGCACTGTTCACTGTTCAATTCATTTGACCCAATTCGCAAGGAGAAACTTTTTGGGCGGGTTTCCTGCTTTTCCCCACGGAAGAAATCTTGATTGAAGAAATTTTATAGGCGGCATTAAAAGCAAATGAACATATCATGAGCTCTGAAGTTGCATTGAAGAAAAAATCCAGACCTGTGCGGAAAATGAATTGATAGGTAACATTTGAATACGTTTCAGTAAATCCCAAAAGTAATAAGACAGCTTCGATTTTGATATAGTGGTTTTCCTTTCGGTAACCTGCTATAAAATTTAAAGAGCGACGCCAGATGAACAAGTAAAGCGGGGGCAGGTCAAACTTTTTCTTATACCTAAATAGTTTTTTTTTTTTTTTTTTCCATGCTGTCACTTAATATATAGGTATTTTCATTTTTTCACAAGTTAACATATTATTCACCGAAAATTAAACTGATGGCCTTCAACTTTGAGATTTACACAATATCATACCTACAGCTTCAATTCCCGTTGCCATATCGACAAGTAAAGCGAAGACAGAGAGGCGATTTACTTTTCTTTTTTGAAAAAAAAAAAAAAACGCAAGCATTCGAATGTTCCCCGATTACATGGGTTGGAATACTTACTTAATATTGGGTAAAGTTGTGGGTACTTTTTCTTAAATTTTTCAGACAGGTAAACTAGGTAGATTTACGGAAGAAATTTTTTGGAAAAAATCTCAGGGACGCTTTCACAATTTTTTTTCGAAAATGCTTACTTTATCAGAAGAAATTTGGATGCTTTCGAATGTAAGTGCAAGTGTCTTTTCTCGGTGCATCCGCCGTATAATGAACGATACCACTATTCGAACTCGCGGGAGCTCATTCTGCCTACTTTCTTACAATGAAGGCGAACTGCTCGGAGCCGACTGTCATCCTTACATTTGGATGATTGTATTCCGTGACTTTCAGAGCGACAGGAGATCCTGCTGAAACTCGACTACATTTAGATTGTATTTCCTAGAACTCCTCAAACGCTCCTATATGTTCACCCATTTTTATTATTTTTCCCCTTTAGTTTTCTACTTTGCTCCTTCACGTTTACGTCTCTTGTCTATGCTACGTAAGGAAGAATATCCCTTGATCACAATATCAACCATATCTACCGTGCTGAGGAAGAACACAATAAGAACCTAAGGACGTAGCCAACTCTTTTTCGACAAAATTTTTCGTTTGGAGGAAAGTCCCGAGTATTTTTCCTTGAAATTTTGAGACAATTTAGATTAATTGTGCTTAAAACTGTCCAAAACATCGAAAGCGAAATATTCACAAGTTTCTCAGGAAAGGCGTGTTTTACCAAACAATATTTGGCAACCTACGGTGTTGTTCTTGAACACGGTAGACATGGAGCCTCCCGAGAAAAAGAGATGTTTTATGGGCGACTACAAATACGACCTTTAAACCCGGACGAAGAGGGAAATTTGACAACGCAGCGCCTAATAGTTCCGTCGACGCCACTTTTGAGCGGGTAATCGCGTGAATAAAAGTGCCTTGATTAGGCCTACGCAGCAGTGGCGTGGGGTGCTTTGCGATACATCGATTAATCTGCCATTTAATCGCAGAAAAAAGAATCGATAGACAGGGCGTTCGCATTATTAATCGATTCTTTACCATATCTTCAAATGGGGGATCGTCGATAATCGACCATTCACACGTCGCCACTGCTACGCAGGGAGCCCACACGCGGCCGAAAGAAATTGAGAAAATGGAGTAAAAGAGTAAGGAGGGGGGCTCGGGAGGACGAACCGAGAACTATTGCTGGGGGGAGTCAATGATCTGATGCGCTCGCTTAAAATTAGAATATTTTGTCACCGACTCCGATGTCCCGACTCGATGACAACTCCGAAGAGATTGCAACCGCCGACCAGCCGTGTTCAGACCGACAACAGAACCATCCGCATCTCATTCGACGCCATCTGTCAGTCTTAAGCTCTCCTGTGACTCCATGGAACTTTCGTAGAATGTCAATTATCCGCTGCGTTCATAAAAGTCGGTAATTTAAGACGGGCGGAAAACTAAAATTTTCCTTCATTTTGGCGTGATACCATAATACTTGCGCGCTTGGTGTTCACTTTGACCATAGTGTGCATAGAGTCGTAATGCAAGTGGAAGAGCTGGCGCCACTTTTAAGCATTTTCCAGGCCCCGAATTCCGAGATTCCTGTGCGGCACCGGGTCCCTTCTTCGATACATAATCGATTGTTTGCGATACACGGGGACTCGGTCATATTCCACACCGCCATTTTGGATCGAATATGTATCGAAAGAGTGACTCCGCACACCGGGCTCGGAACTCATCGAGCAGACCATGGCGCCAGCTCTCCCACTTACATTACGACTCTATGTACTCTATGATTTTGACCGGCGTTCCTTCATATGCGATATGCAAATTTCCGCGAACACGAAACTAATATGCGATTTATCAATCAACTTGGTAGAAAAATAAGATACGATCCATTGAACAGAAATATACGTGATTTCCATCTCAGTATCGTAGCAAAAACGCGATTTTCCTGCGATTTTGACAAAACTGAGAGGTAACGCGTTTGTCACCTTGATATCGCGGCAAAAACAAGATTTTTCCAGCAGTTTTGTGAGAACAAAATAACGAAAATATCGCAGCGAGTATACTCCGGAGTTCAAATAGTTGCGCGCTTGATTTCCACATTAAACGATGCTTAAACGTCGGTTTGCAATTTGAGATGGACGAGAGGCTAAGATTTTCCTTCAATTTTGCGTGATATCACATACCTACTCCGGTGTTCGAATAGTTGCGCGTGATTTCCGCATTCAACGATGCTAGCGACCGACGCGCTAACGATGCGCTGTACCTAAGTATGTTCCTAAAAGTCAGTAATTTCAGACGGGCGAAAACCCAAGATTTTCGCTCATTTTCATGTGATAGCGCATTGCTACACCAAAGTTCGAAAAGCTTCGCGCTTGGTGTTCGCTGTCCGATTGGACCAATGTTGATTCATAAAACATTTCTATGTAAACTTCCGTGATTATGAAAAAAATACGTGATTTTTCAAACTGTTTTGCAAAAACATTAGAAATTATACGCGATGTTCAGCTCAGTATCGCGGGAAATACGCAATTTTTCCAACGGTTTTTTAACAAAGTGATAAGTTACGGGTTATCACGTAAATTACCTAAATCTTCCAGCGGTTTTGTAAAAACATAAAAAAATACGCGTTTTTAATCTCAACATCGCGATTTTCCCAGCAGTTCGGTGAATACATAAACCTTACGCGTACTTTAACTCAATAGAGTCCCTATATTCTTCAAATTCCCTGAATTTTTCTGATTGATTATGCTGTACCCTGGCTTCAAAAATTTCTAATTCCCTGATTTTTCCTGACCTTAAAAAAAAATTCCATTTTTTTTTCCAACGCTGCGTAAAAACGTATTTTCTCCACTTTCCACCGGCAGAATCTTCCAAGCTTCCACATTTTCACGCGCCCGCCAGCCGGATTCCACATTTTTCTTATCAGTTTTCCACAAAATTCCCCACCAGTCTAAAAAAAGATGACGTTTATCCTCTATGTTCTCTGGATTTTCGACTTTTGGCCCCTCAAAACGTCACCTCCTTTACATTTTCGGGGCTTTCCTACATTTTCACGCGACCCCCGGGCGCATGGTCGGGCATTTTCCGCACCCCTGCCTAACTTTGTTCATGAAGAGGGTTGAGAGCTTACCTTGAGCAGGGTCCTGAAGTAAGGGCTGCAGGCCGAGAGGACGACTTTGTGGGCCGTGAAGGAGCGGCCGTCGCAGGCCAGCGTGACGTCGACGAAGTCCTCCTCATCGCGGAGGTGCCGAAAGGAGGATAGGATGCTCGCGTGGTAATCGTTCCAGCGCAGTGAGTACTGCTGCTCCGGGCCGGCGAGTCCGCCCATGGCTACACATCAACCGCACCACAACCACGGGTAAACCGCACCGTTAACACTCCCGCATTTCACTCCACTCCCGAATAATATTTCAAAAAAATCTACTTCCGGGCGACTAGTCAACTACTTAATTTGAGGATTTCACTGAAAATATCGCAGATGGGTTAATCCCGAGAGGTTCCGATTGGTGTCATCTTTCAGTCATTGGATTTGCAGCGGTTTTCCTGAAACAGAGAGCGAAAGAAGGTTAGATATCAAAACTATAGAAAAACTAAGGTAGAAAAGAACAAATATTGAGCTTTTATCCGATTTGTTTCTTAATAAGTAAACTCCCATGCTTAAAAAAAACAGTGTGTAAGAAAATGCTGCAGCACGCTGGTTTTTATAAGCCAGGCTTGAGTTCACATAGTATTATAAAGAAAATCGGATAAAAGCTCGCCTAGGGGTTAGCAGAGAATCTCTGATGCTCCCACAATTTCACGTGCCTGCCTGCCGGCTTTCCACTAAGTCTCTCACCGATTTCTAAAGTTACTAAACGCAGCCCACATTTCAGGAGGGAAAGGGCAGAACGTGACATAATTTTCACTAATATATTTACCAGACTTAATTATGCTGGGGTTTTGTTATTGCACATAGGAATTCATAAAAGCATCAGGTTTGTGATGTTACAGATTTCCTGTCGCATTTCGATCATTCAACGAAAGGTCATCGTATGTGTTCAGAATTCTGTGCGATTCATATACATTTTTTTTGTGAAAAGTTTTTAAACGTCAAAATCAGCTTTCCCAAAGCGGGAAAATACCAATCAAAAACGACTCATTAAGGAAGGTTAAAGGAAACTTTAGGTATCATGCTCAAGTACCCAATTTTTTTGTGATTTCGGAGGCCAGCAACATTGTTATACAACTGAATGATGCATTTCTCGGAAAAATGATTTTGTCGGGATAAAATCAGTGATGGATTACTTCAAAGGAAGCCCAACAGACAACACGAGAATCAAGTTAAGGTACAGAGAAAACAAAGCTCAAGTTAGTATCGAATGCGACCGATAACAAATGAATTTCTTAAAAACTCCTGGATGCAACTATTCGGGCTCCATGGATGTCCGTGTTGCATATGCACGAAAGTGAAGGCGTTCTGACTTCAGACTCTAGCGGCGCGGCGCTCAGTAGAGCTAGTCAATGAGACAAGTCGGACAAAATTTGGAAGCATTAAAAGCTCATATCGATGCTAATATAAAACGTGGAGGTTATAGAAGTGGTTCCGTCGATTGTCTTTTACAATAATTATAAAAGACAATCGACGAAAGGAAATTATTTCCTTCAAGAGGCACCAAATGCCATTTAGAATGTGAAGAAATTAAGATCAAAATTTGCGGTATTAATCGATAATTTGATGGCCAACCTCCCTGAAAGAGTCGTTGCATTGTAAGGCGGGCTTTACTGCTAGGATCTAAATTGACCAAGTGCCTTCGATACTTCATTTATACTTTAAAGACATCTCTTCGCCACGAATAGTTGCTCGACAAATCATGCTCACCACATCGTGATATATGGGAGGTATCTCCCTAGAACAAACAAAGAAATGCAAGCGCTCCGACATTTTGGATCCTTAGAGTAAAGCCCGCCTTTGGCGCCGCCGCGCCACGGATGAAGTAGCGAGTGCCTGGACAGTCAAAACGCCTTCAACTCCGAGCGTATGCAACACGGACATCCGTTGAGCTCGAATAGTTGTATCCAGGAGTTGATATACGTTTTCGTCGCATTCGGCACTAAGTGAGGGTGCTCTGCTTGCTTTCCTTGCACCGTACTTAACTTGATTTCAGCGTTGCCTATTGTGCCGATGAAGCAAACTATTACTGTTTCTATCGCAACATTGTCAATTTTCCGAATAATGCTTTGATTGTTTTAAATATAACAACGTTGCCGACCGGAAATGAAGGATTCATGAGAAGAAGTTGCATAAGGAGATTTTAAAAATGTTTAATGAGCTGAATTCGCTCTATTTGTTTTATAAAGTTATTTTCTAACAAGAAAAATAGGAGAAAAACACATTTAAACTTGAGAAAATGTACTGCATTATGGCGACATGCTCATGGACCGCATTTTCCGTCCAACCAAACGCATGTCGACGGTGAAACTACCAAACCACGTATCTCGGTTTGCGACGTCGCAGACTTCCTGTCATACTTTATTTTTTAAATGAAAAACTACTTAACATCCAGTCTTGAAAATTTCTGTGATTTTTCCTCTTTGTGCGGAAAAAATTCCGTGAAAATTTCAAGGAATGATATTGATTTGGTCTACTTCAAAAAAATTAAATGTGAGCGTAGATTTTTAAACACCGCAAACGAGATACGTGGTTTGGTAGTTTCACCGTCGATGTGCTTACGGAGACTAGATATTCTTTCGTAACTTCTCCAATAATTGCACCATTCAGAAACTGGGTATATTATCGTGCTCAGTTTCTTCCGTGGGTATTTTCCATCTTTAAATGAAATTCGTAAGACATCTGCAAAGTGCAATAACTTCATTTCACTACGCATAACGATCATTTTGACTCGACTCTGAATGAAGACTCTTAATGACTCTAAAATGGAGTCTTATTTGACTAATTTGTAAGAATTTTAAGTAAGTATGAGTAGGAATTTTTAACAGAGTGCAGGAGTTAAGAAACGAAAATGCGACAGTCCACGGGAAGAGGCACCATCGAGACCTCTGTCAACAAAAACTTGAAAAGACATTCGCGTCATTGATAAGAGAGCACGAAGGAGCGTTCTACGAATATTTTGCGACAAAAAACTCCAAAAATACCTAGGTATCAAACCGGGATTATGATGATGCAGAAGTAGAAGTTCAAAAATATTTTAATTTTTTTAGAAAGAGCTTCGGAACTCTCTTTTTTACAATTGTTATTGTGCAAGTCATTGCCGAATTGAAATGCAACTTAATGCTCACTTAATTACTTCATGCACGAAAATGAACTAGCTTGCTTCGTATACGAGAGCAAGGACCTCAGAGGCGAAATACTCAAAACCGTGTGATTTCTAACTCGAATGCTTTGGCGCGAAAAACACCCAAAAATGCAACATCGAACATTTTTTAATGCAACACAATAGAGAACACGCTAATTAACGGGAAATACGATTTGCTTCCAGTTCAAAACTTCACATGAACGAGATGAGCGGCTCACAATTCTTTGTTTGTTTTTAAAATATACACTTCGGGAGTGATTTCCGTGGAATTCTCGGGACATCGACTTTCGGACTCAACTTGAAAATAATCGATCTTCAGAAACAATGCTTTCGAATTTCGATTGTTCGGATATGTTTATAATCTTTGGAATGAGTTCTTAAACGACAATTTTTGACCAGACTCGAAGCGCAATTCAGAATGTACTTGAAGCTGAACTCTGGAGACCACACACCTTGGTTTGCGACGAAACGGCGCAGATTTCCAGTCACACTTTTAGGTAGGCGCTTCATTTTTTTCATAAAAACTGAGTAATGAACAAAATTTTGAGAAAAATTTCTATTTTCAACTTACAGTCTTCGTTTGAAGAAGATCTCTGAAAATTTCATGCAGTTCTAAACTTTGTTCAATACTAAAAATAATACGATGGGGGACAATCTGCGATAACTACCGCAATTAAAATGCGTGGTTTCCGAGTTCAACCATCGAGTACCTAGACTTTCAAACCTCGGCATTTCACTCAGATTGTTAGTTCCTCAGTGCTCAGTTTTGACATTTAAAATCTGAACATCAATGAATTTAATGGGTTAGGAAAGGTTTGCATCCACATTTTCGAAAAGGTGTCAATGAATAGAACCTGAGTTGGTATTTTTCGTGATTACTCTGCAAAATTTGGTATCGTCCCGAAACAAATCGATGCTTTGTTTGTATGAAAGCCTTTATACGAAAACAGCGTAGGTACTTACAGGCGAAAGAATTAGAATACATGCAGAAATAGTTAAAGAGAGGGCTTAATGTGGGTTATGCTTAATAGTGCACACATTCATTTATTGGCGTGAATCCTTAGGTTCAGAGGTTAATTGAATTTAGAGAACTTTCGTTAAGCCGGATTATCATACCGAAAATAACCTTGAACTGATACCTAACAACTAACGCGGTTCTAAACAACGCAAAATTGACAGTGGCAGGGTAAAGAGGCTCGCCGCAACAACTTTCACACCAAATACAACTGCAATGCACAAAATTTCGTCATAAGATTTAGGGGTGGACTTCCGGACTTACACACGCTACCAGCCCCCGACGAAAAATATCAACTTTCTCAGCTGACAACCTGGGGTTATATAATTGCGGTATGCGTAATGACAACCAAGGTTCTGGATACATCCCTGGGTTACACAATTATTGAATTCCTAATAACAACCGCGGAGTTCTGATGCTTATTCTACTGCCCAAATGGCACAGATCGCAATAACCTAGGTACATGGTGAAATTAATGCTGCTGGACCGGAGTGTTGCGTATGTTGCCTCTTCACTGATTGAAGGGGCTCTTCCTATTGAGATTCATCGCAATAAAATTAAAAAAAGCTATTTTTTTTGGAATCGCAAATTGCTGCCTTTCTCGAGCATCTGCATTTTCCTGATCGCTTAAAGTCGGCATTTATGAAGCAAATGATGTTAAATAATGCTATTTCTTTGTTTAAGAAAAAAAAAATAAAAAATAAAAAAAATTCAACAGGTACTTTTTTCTGCATAAAATTGCCAAAATGCTACGCTATCCTCGTTACACTGAGCTACTTGGATGGTTAAACAGACATTACCCAAATTAAAAAAAAAATAAAAATAAAAAAAAATAGGAGGGTCCTCTGCAACCCGGGAGAGGGTGTAGAGATGGCTCAGTGCCCCCTCCCCTACAACCTCCAAACAATCTCACAATTATTTCATATTCAGTGATATAACTATTCTTCTTTCCTCTTCTCTAAAACTATTATACTAAACCTCCAGCCTTGAATGTCAAGTTTCCAGACGGAACAAAACCTTCTATACAACGAAATGTTTCAGGATGATAACCATTTTTTCAAAAGGAGACCCTGTCAATTAATGTTGCCTACTTCATATGAGAAAAATTAGAATTTCACTTTATCTGAGGCTAGGAGAGTAAATTAATTTTCTTTTTTTTTGTCCAAGATAGTAGCGGTTATTTAGCAGTCTTCGAGAAAGTATCCCTCATAGTAGTTAGATTATGTTTTAGAAGGAGGTAAGAGGAGAAGGTTACATAAAAGCTGTTCCTCCAGTAACTGTCGTGACAAGAAATCTAGAGTAGTGGCAAATCAAGCTTAAAGGACTCAAAATAATTCCTGCGATGAGGATTTGGTTAAAATTGAAACTTTACACAGTCCATGCCAATGCAGTTTATCCTCGTTAGATGGCAGGGTGCACAAAAATCACTAAAAGAAAAAATTAAAAAGAAAAAGAGAAATCATTTTACAGGAAGTCTTCAGCCCAAGGGACCCTGCCACTGCTAATAATTGGCACAACATACTATCACTAGGCACTATGAATTCTGAAATTAGTGATTTTAGTACGGCATTCCTCCATTAAGAAGCATGTAGTGAGTACTTATGTGAAGGGACCCGATGACATTTCAGGATAATAACAAATTACCACTCTGCACCCACATTAGTTTTGGAAAAACTTAACTGAGAGCTGGATTTAGGTTTTGACAGTAGCAGCATGTATACAGCATTAATAAGTCTCATGCATAGAAGAGCCTTGCTGTCACAACTTTCCATCAAGAATTAAATAAGCATCATCAGTATGGAAAATTAGGGTACTTGAGCATTGGGCACTTGATTAAGGGTTATGGAAAAAAAAATACAAGGCTGACAGTCCTTCAAGAGATATTTCGAAACAATGATAATAAAATAGAAAACAAAAACAAATCAGCATTGTCAATGTGGGGCTTCAAACTCGAGTCCTGGATTAAATACGCAGTAATCCGCACACAAAAAGTAGGGTTAAGATACAAATAAGTAAATAGAAGAAAATGAAAAAAACCTGGCACTCGTATAAAGAATCCAAACTCTGAAGTAGCCGGGAGCTGTCCAGCGAAACGAAACAACCGTGTGGTAAAAATCGCACTGCACCCCAAACAAACAGTTATCAGTCACTGATTAACGGATGAACAACAAGCAAAAATCGAACTCCGTGCGCAGCGTAAACAAAACGAGACGCGTAGCGCCACAGAGGTATAAAAAAAGCTGCTCCGTCGGTCTCGGTGCGTGAAAACAACGCGAAATCACAGAAATTGCACAGCGCGCAATCGAATCAGATGCTCGAAAACAAATGGCGACAAATGATCACAGAACTGCAGTGCGTTCGGTCGGGCGCCACGACGATAATTGGAACACCGGCGAGGAAAACAAGTCGGAGTAAAATGAAGACAAGAGGAGAGGAAAAAAAACAACAACTAAAACAAACAAATGAATCACGCGTTGCAGCGAACCCACCTCATAAGCGTGTGAAAACAAGAAAAAATCCAGCGGGCGGAAAGCGAACTTGCATCGAGCGGATGCGTATGACGACTGCACAACTACGCGTGTGCGCTGGGCGAGCGGGTGAGTTTCAATTGCTGAAGTGAGTAAGTGTGAGTGCGGGCAGGGGCCCGAAGCGCGGCGAATTCGCCCGATCGATTCATTTCGGAATACCGCATCCGAAGCTCCTGGCTCTTTATGCACGCTCTTCCTGTCATTACTGTCCGTAGCGACTCGGGTTCGAGTGATTCGGCTCTCTCCGTCTTCTCTCTTCGCCCCCTCTCGCCTCTGTCACTCTCTTTCTTCGGCGCCCCGACGCCGCCAACGACGCGTAGTTCACGAGTACTACGCTGTTGCTGCACTCACGGTCACACACACGCACTTCGCGCTCCGCTCTTGCCAAGTCTCCGAGAAAATTCGCCGATTTGGGGGCGTTTAGCATGCTCAAGGGACGGTGGGGGGTGGGGGTAGCTCTAAAAAGCTCGAAGAACTTACCGTCAACCCCAAGATGCCCATGACTTTTCTTCAATACGAAGTCTCGAGTCGGTTAAAAATGGCTGAAAACCCGTCAGTGCTATAATACATCGATTTTGATAGCTTTTGAATTTTTTTCGATGTTATTCCTAGCTTTTCAACGTGAGAAATATTTTTTTTAAAAAAAAAAAAAAAAAAAAAATAGCTGACGGCGCAGGGGTACAACTATTCGTACTTGATGGATATCCGAGTTACGTCTGCAAAATTGAAGGCGCGAGACTTGAACTTGCAATGCTCCGCTCTATACTGCTAGTTAAGTGTCGCTCAGATTCGGGAGAAAAGTTAAAAAAGAGGCCTGATTGCGTCTTTCCTATCTTCAGCTATGTATATCTCACTCAGCTCCTCAAGCACCACCACCAAACAAGCGAAAATGAACGCAAAATGGTACTATAGAACGGGAAAGGACGCTTATTGATGACGGCGCAGGGATACAACTATTCGTACTTGATGGATATCCGCGTTGCGTCTGCAAAATTGAAGGCGCGATGGCGCGAGGCTTGAACTCGCAACGCTCCGCTCTATACTGTTAGTGGAGTGTCGCTCAGATTCGGGAGAAAAGTTAAAAAAGAGGCCCGATTACGTCTTTCCTATCTTCAGTTATGTATATTTCACTCAGCTCCTCAAGCACCAACACCAAACAAGCGAAAATGAACCCAAAATGGTACTATAGAGCGGGAAAGGATGCGCATTGATGACGGCGCAGGGATACAACTATTCGTACTTGATGGATATCCGCGTTGCGTCTGCAAAATTGAAGGCGCGATGGCGCGAGGCGTGAACTCGCAATGCTCCACTCCATGCTGCCGATGAGGTATCACTTAGATTCGGGAGAAAAGTGAAAAAACGAGTCCCGATTACGTCTCTACTATCTTCGGCTGTGTTGACACTCGATTTTTTCTCTTTGTATGTCAATGTGATGTCTGATTATTTTTCATGATGTATTGGTAGACCTATATCGAAAGGCTGCAGTTAATTACTCAATCAAGAAAAGATAAATTATTAAAATTATATTCAATGGCCGAGCATCTGGACCAGTCACTGGCTTTTCGCCTTCGATAGGAAAATGAAGTAGGAAATGAAAAAGCTGAGCCAAGATAGAAGAAGTTCCGAGGAGATGGTAACAGAAAGATTGGAAATGGTGAGAGCGTAAGGAGACATTGTAAGGAGATAAGGAATTTTTTTGGACTTCATATTACTTTAACGGATCAGTTGCGCTGGTCACAGAATCGTGTGTTAATGCTTGATTCTTGTAGTTCAGCGAAAAATAATAAGATCTGTCCAAACAGCAACTCTCTACGTTCAGTATTAACCGAGATATCGCCCCTTGAAAAGTCGGGTTTTTGACATCATCCACCGTGGTAGCGACACCCCTGGTTTCTTCCACCTTGCTTTCATCCGAGTCTCAAGGAGAGTAATCCGTGCAAATGTGCGTTTCCCTGATTAATGAAAGCAATGTGGAAGAAACCAAGGGTGTCACTACCGCGGTGGATGATGTCAAAAATGCGACTTTTGAAAGGGCGATACTGGGTTAATATAGCGCTGAACGTCGAAAAATGCTTTTCGGACGGATTGTATCATTCTTTGCTAATGTACAAGAATCAAGCATCAAAACACGATTCTGTGACCAGCGCAAATGACCCATTGCCCCTGAATTGCGTCTCATTTAACTAGATCTGTACAAGTCAATTGATAAGCTGAATCATCAGTATGGAAACAGGATACTACCATTTTAAACTAAATTCCTACTTAAGCGTCTAAGCAAATGCCCAATTCAACTTCTTACCTACAACTTCTTCTGAATTGTCTGCAAATTAAAACATTGTTCAAAACCTATCTTTCTCCACTATCTCAAGGAAAAAATGTTTGAGAGTTGTTTTTCAAAGGAAAATGATCTGTGTGACGACTGATGACCCGATTGGAGACCGCAGTTGAAAAGTGTGGGAATCTAACCCCACAGAAAAAAGAGAGAACAAACCCACTCGAGAGTTCCCTCGGATTTAGCTGACAATTAGTTGAAGAGGCTCCACTGTACTGTCGCCATTACCTCAATGAGACGCAAATAATTTGAAATCCTTTCTCGGCGTTGACGTGACTTTCAACTAATCCGATGCATTTGCATGGGCTGGAATCATTGTCCCGACACTTACAGAACTGCAGCGGTCAATTTTTTACGCTCTCCTCCCGAGAAACAAGTTCCATTGATTTGTTTCCTGAATTTCGGACAATGATGCTCTCCTTTGCATTCAATACCACCCCCGCCCCCACCCCCGCCTACCACGGGAGCGGACAAAAGGTACGCGTCTCTGGTGCAGGGTTGGGGTTTTCGCTTTCCGATGAAAAATCTCTCTGGAGGCGGGCGCCGCGCCGGACCCAGTGCGCGTACACATTGTTTGCAGGTAAGGAGCCATGCACATGAATGCCGTGCCGTGGAAAGGGTGTGTATTCACGCTTGAAAATGCGCCTAATAACTCCGGATTCGGGAACCGTGGCTTCGCTTCGTGCCTTTCCAGTGCGCCGCGCTGTCGCCAGATTTCCGCTTTCATCGTTGGGGGTGTTTTTTTTTCAAGAACTCTACATACTTGAAGAGTCGAAATTCATGGGCGCCATCAAGTGTCGTTTCTGTTCTCTCAAACTTCACCAGTTTTACGCAACTGACTCGAATGCTTCTCTTTTTTTATCGGAATTAGGTGGTCCAAGAGGAATATGCAATGGTTCTTGTTATGTCACTTTAACGTCATCTCAGTTTCCCTTCAATTTTTGATGTAGGCAATTCGAGCTCCCGCGTGATCGAATAGTTGTATCATCCGTTATGCAATAGTCGACCGCTTTCTGTCGGCGAATACGTTGTGGGCATGATGGCAAAAGAGGAAGATGAAAAGAGAAAAGAGAAGAGGAAGCAGGAAGAGGGAGGAGGAAGAAGAAGGAAGAGGGAGAGAAGAATATGAAAAAAAGGATGGAAAAGAAGGAAAGTGTAGGAAAAAGAAGAAAAGAGGAAAAAAATAAGGGAAGAGGAAGAGGTAGCAGCACAACTAAGTTTATTTTTAAGAGATGCCTAAACATCTATAAAGAAAAGAAGAAGAAGAGAAAGAGAGAGAAGAAGAAGGAAAAGAAGAAAAGAGAAGGAGGAGAAGGAAAAGGGAAATATGTAATGAGATAGGAGAGACGAAGAAAAGAGAGGAAAGAATTAAATACTATCATGGAAAGAGAAAGAGAAGGAGTCATGAGGAAGAAGAGGAAATGGAGATATAAGATGAAAATCAGACTAAAATCAGAGAAAATTTCCCAGTAAAAATTCATTTAATGAAAGGCAGATGCGTACCATATCCACTTCAACCATATAATTTGGAATATTTCGTATTCTATGAAAGACTGTAGAATACGGTCAATAAATGTTGAAATCACTACGATAAAAGTTCCTATTTCATTAAAACCAGTGAAATACGAGTAAATAAATGTAGAAATCATTAAAATGATCCTTGAAAACGAATCCTTTAGATGATCCTACATGCATAAGGTGTGCGTGCTACGTAGATACTCTTAATCTACAGCACATTCGCATATCATCCTTTTTAGGATAACAACGTGCACATGCGACGAATTTTTACCGCATTCGAAATAAATTCAAAGCAAACTGGAATAGGGAAAAGTGGAAAATTCAACAAAAAGAAGCCAATCCCGGGGATGAATGAACGACCTCCTTAGCGCGTAAACACGAGCTACATTTCAATATTCCCAGCCACCGGGATTGGTCGGGAAGCAGGCGCGGAGGAGAGGACAGGAGACGAAAAATCGGGTTATAATGCGCGTAGGGGCGCCAGGGGTGCAGCGAAATTTATGTGCCGGGGAAGCCCGGCCCGGCCGCGGAGCGAAGAAAACAAGGGAACAGTTTTGAACTAGTGAACAAGTGAGCTATTGTCACAAGATTCGACCATTTGCGCCGCCACTGCCACCCCCTCGTGACCCAACCCTCGGTCCGAGTTCCCGCCCGCCCCTGCCAAGTCGCCACCGAAACCCGTCGCGCCTCGGAGCCGCGCGCCCCGAGCGTGGCGCCATCTGGCAACCGCTCCGTCAGCCCGGAGCCCTCCCACGAAGACGCCGACTTTGATGTAAGTACTTGTATCGATCTTACTCTCTAAGTTCTACTGTTTCATACACGGTGGCGCCAAAACTATGCCCTCCATAAAACATAATCACTTCCCCGATGCGTTCTGTGTTCCTCGGCCCGGCGCGGCGCGGCGCTTTCTCTCGGCTGCGCCTGCACGGACTCGAGCGGCCACCCGCCCGGCACCCGTGCTGCGCCGCGAGCCAAAACAAAGCTTGGCGCTGAGATTCGTCCCTTCCGTGACGATTGCCGCCTTTGCGCGAGCTTCGGACGTCGGCAACTTAAGGCCCGGTTCCAACGGATAAGCCCACTGTTTAGGCTCTTGTTAGTCTCATTCAATGGTTAATTGATTTATTTCTTCAACGGACCACTAGTTATCGTACACTTCAGGTTCGCCTTCAATTTCGCCGCATAGGCAACAAGCATATTGGAGAGCTTAAATAGTTGCCTATTCAAAAAATACCGAATACACCTCGCTACATAAACTTTGGTAAAGCCAATGAAGAACGTGTTAAAATTTTGGCAGATATCGCCACGAGAAGTTTCTAACCACAATAAAATTAGTTAAGGCGTT